AAAATTTAACAACGTGTCGTTATTTGAACCATTCATTTTTCGTTTCCTGGAGAGCAAACGTTTAAACAATAAAAATGTGCTTATTTGCACTTGTCCCCTTTTTATTCATATTTTCGGTAATTCTCCAATTTTTATTACGATAAAGTGAAAATAAAAGATTATATATTTTATTTTTTTTGCGGACCCCTGCCCCTGGGGGCTGACTTTATTGGTCAATACTTCAGGTAGCCTAAACCCCTGAGGCTGGCTCTTACTGTGACAATACTTCAGGCATCCTGACACCTGAGACTGACTCTTTTTGTGTTTTTACTTCATGTATACTTACACCTGAGGCTGGTTTCTTGTAGTGTCAATACTTCAGGTATCCTGACACCTGAGGCTGGCTCTTATTGAGTCAATACTTCAGGTATCCTTACACCTAGGCTGGCTTGTTGTGTCAAACTTCAAGTATCCTGACACCTGAGTGGCTCTTGTTGTGTCAATACTTCAGTTATTCTAGCACAATATTCTGATACTTGTAGTGTCAATACTAAACTGACTTTGCATTGCCAAATCACTGTTACAAATCAGAAGAATTCTGTAAATACTGTATATATTGTTAATACAGTGACTACACTAAAAACATAGTTAAGTAAATTAATATACGACATATATTAATATTATGTTGAAAACATCTAAAAAAACTGGTTTTAAGACAAATCAACGTACAGGTGTTGATGAAAATTCACACTCGCTACAACACCCTTTTTTCTCAAGAACAGTGCGTATCTCTCACCAGATCTATTATAGCTATGAAACACTCAAACGTTCAATGTGTCTTAAAGAGCTTTCTGATAAAAGTAATTTACTACAACACATGAGAACTCATATTGGAGAAAAACTTATCAGTGTTTTGTGTGTCTGAAAAAATTTCTAAAAAAATACTTTAAAAAGGCACTTGATCATTCATACTGGAGAGAAACCATATCAGTGTTCACAATGTCCAAAAGACTTTTCGCAAAGGTCTCACCTAGTAAGTCACATGAGAACTCATACTGGAGAGAAACCATATAAGTGTTCAGAATGTATGAATACCTTTTCTCATAGATCAACATTAGTAAATCACAAGAGAACTCATACTGGAGAGAAACCGTTCCAGTGTTCAGTATGTCTGAAAGACTTTACAAGAAAACCTTATTTAGTACATCACATTAGAGCTCATACAGGAGAGAAACCATATCAGTGTTCACAATGTCCCAAAAGGGCTTTTCGAAAAGGGCTGACCTAGTATGTCACATGAGAACTCATACCCGGGAGAGAAACCATATAAGTGTTCAGAATGTATGAATGCCTTTTCTCATAGATCAACATTAGTAAAATCACATGGAAACTCATCGGAGAGAAACCATATCAGTGCTCAATGTGTCTGAAAAACTTTTCTCGAAAGTCTGGTTTAGTAAGTCATATGAGAACTCATACTAGTAAGATATGATTCATGAAGTATATCATTTAAATAAATAAATATATCAATATTTCGGTCTAGTTACTAAAAATTACTTAACCTAAATTATGAAATAATTTTTGAGCGTTTTTTCTTCTCGAAGATTCTGGTATTGGGCCAGAATTGTCTGGCAGTGTGTTGCATGTCTGGCAGTGTGTTGCATGCAACACAACTGGTGACATCTCTCAAATAAACAATCTATTAATTCCTACCCTCAGTTTTACTTTGCCACAATACCAGCTTGATGGTCTTCCTGAATGTCATTTTTATATATTATATTGTATATTCTTTTCAATAGTGTCATTCTGAAGATCATAATTCTTAATTGGTAAATAAATCATATACTGGAGTATACTGGGAGAAATCTTTCATTACCCACGTGAACCTATCTGAGATCAGGCCTCTTGGTTTACCTGGAGAGGGCTTCGGGGGTCAAAGCCCATTCGCCCGGTCTGAGACCAGGCTTCAAGGGGGATCAGGTTCTGATCAACCAGGTTGATAAAGCTGGCCTCACGCAAGCTGACGTACTAACCACAGCCCAGTTGGTCAGGTACCGACTATAAGTGCATGTCCAGTGCCTTCTTGAAGACAGCCAGGGGTCTATTGGTAATCCCCTTATGTATCCTGAGAGGCAATTGAATAGTCTTGGGCGCCTAACACTTACTTTGCTTTACAGAATGGATATAAATTCTCTGGAAAATGTACAAAGGAGGATGACAAAGTTGATCCCATGTATCAGAAACCTTCCCTATGAGGATAGACTAAGGGCCCTGAAACTGCACTCTCTAGAAAGACGTAGAATTAGGGGGGATATGATTGAGGTGTATAAATGGAAGACAGGAATAAATAAACGGGATGTAAATAGTGTGCTGAAAATATCTAGCCTAGACAGGACTTGCAGCAATGGTTTTAAGTTGGAAAAATTCAGATTCAGGAAGGATATAGGAAAGTACTGGTTTGGTAATAGAGTTGTGGATGAGTGGAACAAACTCCCAAGTACCGTTATAGAGGCCAGAACGTTGTGTAGCTTTAAAAATAGGTTGGATAAATACATGAGTAGATGTGGGTGGGTGTGAGTTAGACCTGATAGCTTGTGCTACCAGGTCGGTTGCCGTGTTCCTCCCTTAAATCAATGTGACCTGACCTGACTAGGTTGGGTGCATTGGCTTAAGCCGGTAGGAGACTTGGACCTGCCTCGCATGGGCCAGTAGGCCTTCTGCAGTGTTCCTTCGTTCTTACATTCTTATGTCTCTCATTGTATTCGTGGTGTCCCTGCTTTTCACTGGGGGAATGTTGCATCTTCTGCTGAGTCTTTTGCTTTCATATGGAGTGATTTTCATGTGCAGGTTTGGTATCAATCTTCACAGGACCTTCCAAGTGCATATTATCATGAATCTCTCTCGCCTGCATTCAAAGGAATACAGATCAAGGACCTTCAACCATTCCCAGTAATTTAGGTGCCTTAACGTACTTACGTGTGTATCAGGATCTGGTGAACCAGGCAACTACTGCTGCCGACACATAAACCAGCATACGAACCAAAACCCGGCTGACCAGGTACTGACTTTACATACCAACCCAGTGCCTTGTTGAAGACAGCCATGGGTCCATTGGCAATCCCCCTTATGTATCCTGGGAGGCAGTTGAACACTCTTGGTCCCCTGAAACTTATTGTGAGTTCTATTAGTGTACTCGTGGTACCTCTGCTTTCCATTCTGAGAAAGTTGCGTCTCCTGCAGAGTTTTTTTTGCATTTGCAGGGAGTGATTCTCCTGAGCAAGTTTGGTACTAATCCTTCTAGGATTTTTCCAAGTGTTTATTATCATGTATCTTTCTTGCCTGCATTCCAAGGAATACATATCGTACTTATGTGCACTTTGAAAGTTCCCCTGCCTTGAAGGGGGCAGTTAGTGTACAGCAGTATTCCAGCCTATTACAATAATAATAATCACAATAATAATAATAACTGCAGACAGCAACAGCCCAGGGAAGTTCTACCTTCCTGCCAAATGAGTATAAAACGGAAACCTGTATTGTTTTACATAATGGTAGGATTGCTGGTGTTTTTTTTTCTGTCTCATAAACTTTGCAAGATTTCAGGTACATCTTGCTATTTCTATTTACACTAAGGTTCCCACTACATATACATGCACAAGCATATATGTACATACCCCTTGGGTTTTCTTCTATTTTCTTTCGGGTTTTCTTGTTCTTGTTCTTGTTTAATTCTCTTATCTCCACGGGAAAGGGAACAGAATTCTTCCTCCTTAAAACATACTTTTGTAAGACACGACTAAAATGCCAGGAGCAAGGGGCTATTAACCCATTCTACTTTATAAATTGCTAAATTTAAAAGAAATGTGGGGGAAAAGTTCAACGGATGGGAGTACCGAGCGAGTTTTATGGTAACGATAGTTTGATCGCCGGCTGCTTGTTAATTAAGGTATGGTCAGCCTAGGTCCCGTTATCCCCCCCCTTTTCTCCCCACCCCGAAAGGTGACGTGTAGGGCTCCGGCCAAACAGTAATCACTCGACTCACAGCTCCCAGCACAACTGTAAGTAAAAGCCTCTGCTCCCATTCTAGTGGATATCCAAAAATAAACTTAGTCCTTTCAATTTTAAGCTCCACATAATACACTGGTAAAGTGTATGGTAGAGTTATAATTGAAAGAATTAAGAGTAAGACGGAGAATAGGATAGCAGATGAACAAGAAGGCTTTAGGAAAGGTAGGGGTGTGTGGCCAGTGTTTACATTGAAAAATAAAAGTGAACATATTTAGTAAGGCTAAAGAGTCTTTTGTGGATTTATGGATTTGGAAAAAGGGTATGACAGGTGGATAGGGGCAATGTGGCAGATGTTGCAAGTGTAGGAGGTAGGTTACTGAAAGCAGTGAGAGTTTTTACGAGGATAGTGAGGCTCAAGTTAGAGTATGTAGGAAAAAGGGGAAATTTTTTCCCAGTAAAGTAGGCCTTAGACAAGGATGTGTGATGTCACCTTGGTTGTTTAATATTATTTATAGATGAGGTTGTAGACAAGTAAATGCGAGGGTCTTGGCAAAAGGCGTGGGGTTAAAAGATAAAGAATCACACACAAAGTGGGGGTTGTCACAGCTGCTCTTTGCTGATGACACTGTGCTTTTGGGAGATTCTGAAGAAAAGTTGCAGAGATTGGGGTGGATGAATTTGGTAGGGTTGCAAAAGAAAAAAATTATAGGTGAATCAGGAAAGAGTAAGGGTTATGAGGATAAAAAAGATTGGGTGAAAAAGATTGGATATCAGATTGGAGGGAAGGTATGGAGGAGGTAAACGTATTTCAAAATTTTTGGGGATGGAGTGTCAGCGGAGGGGTCTACGAAAGATGAGGTAAATCATAGAATTGAGGGGAAAAAGAGTGAGTGGTGACTTGAGTCTGTGGAGACAAAGAAGTTTGCCCTTGGAGGCAAAGAGGGGAATGTATGAGAGTATGTTTACCAAAGCTCTTATATGGGGTGAAGCGTGGGTGTGAATGTTGAGCGAGGAGAAGGCTGGGGGGCAGGGGGAGATGTCATGTTTGGGGCAAAGTGTGGTGTGAAAAATAAGCGAAATTTTGTAGGGAAATTAGGGGAGGTGGGGGATTACCAAAACTGTTTTCCCGAGGGCTGAGGAAAGGGGGTTTTTGAGGGGGTTGCACAGTAGAAGGAAAGGGCGAAACGAATGACTTTCAAGAGTGTATCAGTCGTAGTGGAAGGAAGGGGGGGTAGGGGTGGCCCAGGAAAGGTTTGGGGGGAGGGGGTAAAGGAGGGTTTTTTGTGGAGGGGTTGGACTTCCAGCAGGCAAGCGTGAGGGGTTTATAGGGTGAAGGGGAAAATGGTTTTTAATACTTGACGTGCTGTTGGAGTGTGAGCAAAGTAACATTTATGAAGGGATTCAGGGAAACCGGCAGGCGGATTGAGTCCTGGAGATGGGAAAGTACAGTGCTGCACTCTGAAGGAGGGGTGTTAATGTTGCAGTTTAAAAACTGTAGTGTAAAGCACCCTTCTGGCAAGACAGTGTGGAGGGGAATGATGGTAAAAGTTTTTCTTTTTCGGGCCCCACCTGCCTTGGTGGAATCGGCCAGTGGGGATAATAAAAAAAAAAAAAAAAAATAATATTTTTAGATAACCCCACCTTCTTTAAGTATTTTACACTTATCATGGAGAGTGATTTCCTAAGCAGTGGGTAACCTGTCTCTTTTTTCCAGCTTGGAAGGGAAGCTCGGGTACCTGCCAACCAATGAGAAGTGTCCTTTTTTTCTGTCTCATAAACATGCAAGTTTCAGGTACACCTTGCTATTTCTACTTACACTAAGGTCACATTACACATACATGTAAAAGCATATATATGCATGATGATAAATTGACACATGTGCAAATCTTGGGTATCTTTATTGATGAAACGTTTCGCCACACAGTGGCTTAAATCAGTCCATACAAGGAGAATCTTGAAGAACGGAGGAGAATGAGGTAATCGTCCCTCAACCTTGAGTAGATGTTGGCAGTCCATCAATCTTGAATAGAAATAAATATATATGCATACCCCTCTGGGTTTTCTTCTATTTTCTTTCTAGTTCTTGTTCTTCTTTATTTCCTTTATCTCCCTGGGTAAGTGGAACAGAATTCTTCCTCCGTAAGCCATGCTTGTTGTAAGAGATGACTAAAATGCCAGGAGCAAGGGGGTAGTAACCCGTCAGTGGAACGCCTTCCTACTGAACAAAAGAAAAATAATGGAAAAATAAATAAATAAAGAAATGATTTAGGAAAAACAAGAAAAATGATTTTTGAGAATTTTATTTAAAAATTTTAAATATAATAAAAAAAATGGCCTTCAGTTTTTGTAGTTGGGTAGGAGTAGGTATGGCCCTGGATAGTTCCTCTGATGTTATTATGTGGTTATCCTGGGCGATGGTAACCCGAAGTTCTGGAATCTCTACCACTTGGTGGAGCACAAGTAGAATAGGTAAGGG